GTGTATTTATGTTAACTAAAAATTAGCTGTTGAAGTGCTGGCTCCTTTCAGCTCTTCTGAGTATCGTAGTTGTATTTTTGTAAGGTCTCTATTTTGCCACAGGGCTTTGGTTGAACTTTGTAACCGTTAGTTCATACCTAGCTTATTTCTACTTCAAAGGGCACAAATAGAAGCTAGGGTAACTAACTTACTGGGGCCATTCATTTCCAGTTGATTTGCTGTTTGGCCAAAAGATAAAAATGTTTGCTTAAGGAGTCTACTGTGGCTTTATTTTTAAGTTTATAACATACCAAGTTTAAAGAAAGTGCACTGTGGAAATGCATATTTCAAAGTGTTCTGATTTTAAAAATGCTAATCTAATTCAGGATGGTGGAAAATGAAAGGACCTAGGCATTTTAAAACAGTTGCTAAAGAATTCCTGTTCTCGTGCTTAAATAAGTATAATAAAATAAGAAGTCATAGGCTTGGGGTTTTTAGAAGCTGGCTGGTCAGGTAGGATACACTACTAGAACACACAGACCAGGTGTGTGATGGCTCACCACAGCACAGCCTGCTGGAGGCTTTCTCCCAGGTGGTGATTTGGGGATGTAGAGGCACCTTCCATCTTTTGGCTTTGCCATCCCTTAGAGCCTTTTTTTATCTTGGGCATCCAGCCAGATGCAGAGGAGAAGGCATGGAGGTTTTTATGGTTCATGGCACACTGGGGAAGACATTGTCATGTGTTAATACCTACCTGCCCAAGAAATTGGGAATGTGGTCTGGGTAAGCGCCTGGGGAAAGGAGAGTGGGTCTCTAGGTATCTGGCCCAGCACCATGTGACTGCACTTCGCCAGATGGCCTGCAAAGACCCAGGGTGGATGCCCATGTAGGCTCAGAGATAGCAGAAAGAAAATTAACATTAGTGAGAACCTGATTTCCTCCTGAGCAAGGGATGCTAAACTTCTGTAAAAGACCAGGTAGTAAATATTTCAGGCTCTGTGGGCCACTTTTGGTCTCTGCTGCACATTCTTCTCTTTTCCTAAAACAACACTTTAAAAATATCTAAACCGTTCTTAGCATGCCGGCTGTGGGCTGGATTTGGTCTGTGGGCTGCAGTTGGCCAACTCCTGCTCTTATTTCATCATGGCTAATTACCTGTCTTCTTATAAATCCAGTATGTATGTATGTATGCATGTATGTATGTATTTATATTTTATTTTATTTTATTTTATTTTATTTATTTTATTTTATTTTATTTTATATATTTATTCATGAGAGACAGAGAGAAAGGCAGAGACACAGGCTGAAGGAGAATCAGGCTGCCTGTGGGAAGCCTGATGTGGGGGACTCCATCCCAGGACCCCGGGATCATGACCTGAGTCAAAGGCAGACGCTCAACCACTGAGCCACCCAGGCGTCCCTAAATCCAGTATTTAATGAGTTACCTTTATTAGGTTGAAATTTGGAGAGTCAGTTTTTGCTTGCAGTACATCGATGTGATTATATTCTGACCCATAATTGAGGAGTATGGACTTTCTATTTGTGGACATTTATAGTTTCCGCTTGACGGATGTCAGTGTATATCTTGTTTATAACTAGCCAGTTGCAAGGTCTTGATAATCAGCTTTGCTTTTTTGTAATTGATTTCTTAGTATATTTCATTATATTTTGCCTTTCTATATGGGATTACAAAAAATAAAAAAGGTATAGTATTTTATTTCTTAAAGATTTATTTATTTTGGAGAGGGTATGAGCAGGGTGAGCGGGGTAGAGGGAAAGAGAGAGCAGCAGACTTCCAGCAGAGCACGAAGCCCGATGCCAGAAGCGGGGCTCCATCCCAGGACCCTGAGATCATGACCTGAGCTGAAATCAAGGCAGTCACTCAGGTGCTCAGAGCCACCCAGGTGCCTGAAAATGGCATACCACTTTATTTATTTATTAAATATTTATTTACTTATTTTCGAGCGTGGGTGCAGGGGAGGGTGCAGAGGGGAAGGGAGAGGGGCAAGCCTACTGGCTCTGAGCACGGAGCCCAACACCCAGCTGGATCTCAAAACCCTGAGATCATGACCTGAGATGAAACCAAGAGTCAGACATGTAACCAACTCTGCCATCCAGGCGCCCTTAAAAAAAAAGCATACTACTCATTTAGAGACCTAATTAAAAAAAAATAACTGTGTCCAGTATTCTGAATTCAGGTGGAGAGACTGTTCTATTAGATTATCAGAAATTTGATTTACAGACCAAAATAAGCACAGTCTGACCTGATGTCAGTGGAGCGTGGGAAAGTATTTGAATACACCTGGTAGCTTTTCAGTCAGTGACTTTGCTAAAGTATTTACAATAAGTAAAATTAACTCTTCTGTCCATTTGTAGACATCTCAGGATCAAAATTTCCATGGTTGACTTTGAAGGCAAGGTGTACTGACATGGATGGTGAGGGTTTGGCAGTTCTTTCAGGTGCTTTGTTCCTTAAGCTGACCTGGAGCTCCAGCATCTGTCTTAGGTGCCTGTCTCTACTCTTAAAGACTGTGGATTAGTATGTGCCTGGAGTCCAAATACGGCCTGTGACTCGTGTGCTGTGTCTGTGTGTGAACACAGCTGTTTGCGTCCTCATACACTTCAGTAGCAAGGAGGAGGCAGAGGGGTAGAGTGTGCTGTTTTTAGGATTTGCAGTTTAAACTCCCAGATAAATGAGCCACGTTGCTCCGCCAGAAGTGTTGTAGTCTGTGCTGACAGCGTTACTTTGGAAAGCTGCTTTTTTTCCTCCTTTGGAATTAGCTCTTGCTATCCTTGTGTCTTTTTTTTTTTTCCTTTTCGTCAGTTTTATGAGGATAAAATGGCATAATAATGTCTCTTTTGTTTGTTTCCCATCTTCCCCAATCTGAAAACCAAAAAAAGCATTTATGGTTTTATTTATTTCCGCCATCTTTTTCCCTGAAGTTCCTTTCTTGTTAGGCATATATCACCTTTGCCCTTCTTCCCTTAGAAGTAGAAGTAGATTGCTCTTCTGTTTGAAGTATACATTTTAGTCCTTCACTACCACAAGTGTCACAGTGCCAGTGAGCACTCTGCCTCTTCCTGGTCTTGAAGGCGAGAGGCCTGGCATGTGGGTAGTTGCTGACCATGCTGGGAATTGTGACATTGCTTTTTTAGCATGTTATGTACATAGTGGCCTAATCATTAAGAAAAGAGATGGCTGTGCCTCACACTTGTGTCATCCACTGAGCTTTGTGGGCAGTGTGTCCACATGCAGGTTCCTCTGGAGGGAGGCATTGTTAGTCTGGTTTAGGTGAACTGTCAGAGTACCTTCTCATCCCTAACTGTGACTTCCTGTTGCTTCCTGATGGAAGCATATTGCCATATGTGTCTTTTGAAACATTTAAAGATCTTTTTTTTTTTTTAAGCAGAGACAACTTTTATAACACCATATTTCATAATCTTACCTAAAACTTGTTCCCTTAGGAGTCCTTTTTTTCCTCTTTTTTTAGATTCCTTAAAACTTTGCCTATATTTTAAACTCTGTGATTGTATACTTAATAGTGAAGTCATATGAAGTATGTATACTTCTACACGTCCTTAAGTGACCTGCCGTGGCATGTAGTCTTCTATTCCTGGATCAATCAGTATGAGTGACTGTATAAATAAAATTTGCCCTCCATGATGTCTAATTTTTAAAATATTATTTTGAACAAATGTTAATGAAAATGCTAAATCAGGATTATATTCCTACCTGATCTCCTAATATGGATGATTTAAACAAATACTTCTCAAAGTGTGTGTGTGCTCTACATAGGTTATGACCTTTGCAGCTTCCTTTCTTCTACCTAGGCTCTTCCAGCAAAGGATTTTACATGAGCATAGGTGGATATTTAACGTGTATTTGGTGATAATGGTAACAGGAGCCACTACACTGAGTGAATAGTAAAGCTGCAGTTGATCTGTAGATTTGGGGGTTACTTGAAGTATGTATGTGTGTTACCAAAGCCTGGGTCAGAAATTCTGCAGTGAGCATCGTGGACAGATAATGACTTGTGTGGCTAGTCCCATCCCTGATCAGGACTTCAGTTCCATGCTGTCAGCTTTTCATGTGTTGCTCAAAAGTAGCATTTGAAAGTGTCTTGTGGCTGCTGTAGATTACATAGTGACTCCTGTGCTTCCTAATTCCAGTTGTAACCAGTAAGGACTTTCTGTAACTCTTTAACTTGAAGAAAACAAACTTTGTGTTCTCACTATTGAGGAAGGGTGGGAGGAAGAGGAAGGAAGAGTATGCACGTGGTCCTGTTCATGTCCAGTGGTTTTCCTGATAGCTGAGGATGTTGGTTTCCCTCATTTCTCAAGAATTATGTTCTATTTGTTTAGTTTCTTTATTAAGAATGGGACAGATTTTATCATTTTATGACCTTTAGACTTTTCAGCTGTGAAAGTGTTCTCAGTGGTTGAAGGTACTGGTTTGTGATGATGATTTATTTAATTCTTTGGTATTCTGAAGAATACTATGTACTTAGATCACAGTATTTGTTGTTTGTTGCTTGAATATACTTCTGTGTAAGCATGTGTTCTTCAAATGTAAGAAAGGGTTTACTTTCTTCCTTTCCCAGCGTTAAATTCTTTTTTTTTTTTTTTAAAGTATTGGGGCTCGAACTCATGGCCATGAGATCAAGACCTGAGCCGAGATCAAGAGTCAGACACTTACCTGACTGAGCCATCCAAGCACCCCTCCCAGCGTTAAATTCTCAACAAAGTGTGGATGGGTTAATTTCGTAGGTTAAAATCATCCCAAGTTTAAGCATTCTTTCAGCATTTTTAAGTCAAAAATTTTTGTTAATAAAACTATTTTCTGAGAAGGAAAAGTCCTGTTGATTTTACTCCTTTACAAAGTGTTTTAAATATGTTCAATATGACACATTTTACTTATGTGACTCAAGTTGGCATTATAGACTGTAAAATTCATCTGAAATTTGAAAAATTAATATGTGAAGTTGAAATTTTATTTGAAATACTCTCTGCATTTTGTTTAGACCAGCATGTTTTGGAAATTTGATCTTCATTCATCATCCCACATAGACACACTTCTAGAAAGAGAAGATGTAACACTGAAGGAGTTAATGGATGAGGAAGATGTTTTACAGGAATGTAAAGCTCAGAACCGCAAACTTATAGAGTTTCTGTTAAAAGCAGAATGTCTCGAAGATTTAGTCTCATTCATTATAGAAGAACCACCTCAAGACATGGATGAAAAGATCAGATACAAGTAAGAAAATTCAATCTTCTCTTTAGGGTGGGACTGAAGTGAAGTGGGGGTAGAATATTCCTCTTGTTGTCCAGCAATTCCCCAGGGCTGTTGTAGACCATTTAGAGTGTTAAAATGGTCAAAAGTGACAGACTGAGTGGAGCATGTAATCCATTCTAGAACCATGTCCAGTGAATCACATGGTTTTTTAAAATGAGTGTTCTAAATTGCAGTCAGAAGGCTTTGTGGAAGGGCAAAGTGCTTTGTGAACAGTGATGGAAGTTTCTGAAAATAGTAAGACGATTCAAGTAAGTATTTTCTCTTTGCAAATAGGAAGATAGAAATTATGTGACTGTCCCAGATCACATGACAAATCTAAGCCAGAGCTTGGGCTATGAAGACTATGGCTGATACAAGAAATTCTGACTTGTTAGCTTATGATAAGGGAATGGATCTTGATGAACATCAGTGGAGCTGAATTTAAGTAGCTAGTGCCTTGGATGACTGTAGCAGGTTTATGTCCTCCTTGCCAGTTTGCTCACAATAGAACAGTAGTGGATGGGGCCCTTTATCACTGTCTCTTTCAACACTTGGACTACACATGTCTGGAAACTCTTAGTGAGCACTCCATGTGCATTGAAAGTATTGAAGTTTCAGTGAACTCTCTTTCCATCTCCAGCTCTAATTGAAATATTTGATACTTTCCCTCCTCCCCAGAAAATAGGACAGATTTAGGAACAAGTCATTGATTATGCATTAAATAAACTTAATGGAATAGGGAGAATTAAGACTTTTAGTAGATCGCCCCCCCTTCCCCAGTCTGTTCCTCTTTTCAAATATCTTTTTCTTTCTTTGTGGGGAGAGTTTTGCTGTCAGAGAAATAATACTTATTAATACTTTCAAGTGCTGGTGGCTTGGACTTTCAATCAGGTGAGGTTATGTTCTTTGGCGGCCATTAAGATGGACATCTAGCATTAGCAACAGCATCCACACAGATCAGTCCCCTAAAAAAGAAGAGGAAAGAAATGTGGCAGCAGGAATATTAGTGTACTCCCATCCTCCAGAAGACAGACACTTTGCTGTTTGGGAATTCCCTTCACGTGTGAGCCAGCACACGTGGGTGCTGCTTGTCAAGGGGCTCATCCTAGTGGGAACCATGTGCTGTGGGCTTTACATTGAGCCCACCTGGAGGGTTGTTGTATCCCCCTCTTAGAGAATGTGAGCCAAAGGACTTGCCCTTCTGGTGTCAGTTTTCTCACCAGCTGAATGAAGTTAATACCTCTTTAACTGGGAAGAATAGGCATACCACACCTTAGGGAAGGTGCTTATTTTACCAAAAAGTAGTCATGGCTTTTGTAGTATTGCCTTGCCAGTGTTTTTTTTGTTGTTGTTGTTGTTTGTTTTTTTTTGTTTTGTTTTGTTTTGTTTTTTAATGTGTGTGTGTGTACTACTTTTGAAGTTGAGGGAACAGATGTGCCTCCCTGGACACACAGTCTTCTGGATGGCACCATTGTGAGGGAACATGACTTATGCTGGGCAGATGAGGTCTGTGCTACGGTTCTGGCCGAGATGGAGACACCAGCTATGCGAGAGATACATGATATGCCTGGCTGGATATGCAGAGGGGTATTTCATATGGGATCTGAAAGCTTTTCGAGGTTGAGATTGACCTGTGGTCATCTCAGGAAATATAGACTAGTGTTTATAGAGTATGGGTGATAGAGTGATTGCTGTATTTTGTGAACCTCATAACTTTATTAGTTACACATGTGAACTGAACTCACACTGTTCTAAGTCAGTGATCATATACAGGGTATTAAACATTTGTCATTTTGCACTGATCTTTTTAATCATAATGACAGATCTCTCAGTTCTAAATAATTTAGCAGAAATTTGAACTAAAAGAACTTTGAGAATAGGGCTTTAAATAATATAATAAATCCTAAAGCTAAGGTGCCGTTGGTTGAGTCAAGGTTCCTACAGAGGGACTGCAGAGGAGGAGAGGTAGGGGAGAAGAAGAACCAGGAGGGACTGCCACCCTGAAAGCTAAGGGAAGCCAGGCTCCAGGACAGAGGGATGGACAGGTGGGTCGAGGGCCTGCTATTGACCGGACATGTGACCATTGGCGCTTGCAACACAGAGCACGTGGGCCCATCAGTGTAGGTTTTCTGGAGTGCTGAAGGTGAAAGCCTGGCTGGAATGTCTTTCAGGAGAACTAGCGACAAAGCGCAGAGACAGCTCTTTCAAGAGTCTCCCAGAAAAGGAGCAGAGAGAGAAAGTGGGTGCTGTAGGCAGATGGGAGTCAGTAAAGGTGTGGTGGTGTTTTTATCCTGTGGGAAAAATAGTGGGACATTTATATGCTGATGAGAGCCATGCAGTACCAAGGGAAAAGAAGGAACAGGGAGTGGGACATCCAGGGATGTACTGTGCCTGAGTAGGTGGGAGGCCATGCAATCAAAAGAGCAAGTGGAGGGTGGCTTTAGGAGCAGAGTCAGCTCTGTGGGTAGGGAGGAGGAAGAAGCCCAGCTGTAGGTTGGTGTGCAGTTCTCTTCTGTTTGCTTCTGTGTTCTCACTACAGAGGAATTGAGGTCAGAGCATACAGTGGGGGAGGGGAGAAATGGAGGGGGTCTTTGGGTGTTTTAGAGCTAGTTTAATGTTTAGGAAAGAGAGAAGAGCCCCAGCCTGTCTGGAACCAGGACTGTGAACCTTACGTATAGGGCCCAGACCCTTTACATGTGCTTCTTTAGCTAGATCATATGTCTCGGTCACTGTGGGAAAATAGGTGAAAATTTCATAAAAAAGATATTTTAAATGCCCATGCTCTGTTCTGGACCTTGTGTGTCAGAATTTGGAAAACACTCTATGCATTTGGTTTGCAGCCTCACTTGAGGTCTACTGTCTTTTACCTGTGCTTTACTTGCCAGCAGTTTCAAATTGGGGCATTTGAGACAGTGCACCCCCTAGCCCCCTACAGCAGTATTTCAGAAGTTCTATACATTAGAAAATACAGAGGAATAAAAACAGCTAGCTTTTGTTTATTCTAGGCCATCTTTTTCTCAGTATTTTGTGTTATCCTTCTCCATGAGGTAAAGGTTACTTTCTTAATTTTACAGACTTGAAAACTGAGGCAGGAAGGTTAAGTAACTTGTCCAAGGTCATGCAGCTTGTAAATAGCAGGGACAGAGTCTGAACCTAGGTAGTGTGAGTCCAGAAGCTGCACCTGCAACCACTGCATTATCCTGCCCTGGCATAATGACAACTTTCTATTATGGCATCTTTGAGCCCACATATTTCATAAAGTAAGGAGGAAAGACTTTAATTTGACTGAGCCACAGAAGACAGCTATTTGATAATATGATCTTCATGCCCACACACCTGCCAGTTCTGTTGTCTTTCTTTTCCTTTCTCTTCCTCCCTACAAAGGTTCACTTGGGGACATTCTCATACTGTTACATCTTCCAGCCTCACACCAGACCCTCTTAGGGTCTGCAGCCTTCTGGTCTGTGGCCAGTAGCCTCTTGAGCCAGTGACCTCAGAGCAGGCAGCCCTTGCTTATCTTGGGTGCCTCAAAGGGTGTTGTCTCTATTTCAGACTACAGTCCTTGCCTCTCTCTTGTCATACAGCAATCTGTTGCTGTTTTGTCACCTTCCTGTCCAGCCAGCCTTTGACTTGCCACTCCAGATGACTAGTTGGTACTGGATCCTGGCTGCTTAACAAGGAGGAAAAAAGAGCAGATAAATGAAATTGGGGGTGGTAGAGAATGTCATGTGGACCAGCCTTGGAGTCTGCCTTTGTTGCTGTTAAAAACGGAAGAGAGATTGTGGTAAAAGGAGTGAGTGGAGAAAATGGATCAGCTGTCTGGTTTTCAGAGAGAGAGAGAGAGAGAGAGAGAGAGAGCTCTGATGGTCAGAGGCAAGCATGATATAGGGGTGCAGGTATTTTCAGGGCTGTGGAGTCTGTGGAAGAGGTCTGTGACCCACAGCAGTGAGACCTGTCAGTGGGCTAATCCCTGGAAGACCTTGGAAGGCTGGGAAGGCTGGCATGAGAGCTTGTGTTTTGTACACAACTTTCCCATTTGGGTGACTCAGGCTGATGTCCTGTTCTCCAGTTCCCTATGTTAGAATATTTATTCTCTTATGGTGTAATATAGACCGAATACTTGATGAGCCCCCCAAAAGAGCTTTCTAGTACATTTGCAACTCCTGTGAAAATAGAGGTGGCTGATGGGTCTTGAAACCTGAATGTGTCTTAAGTAGTTAAGGAGGTACTGTGTCGTACTGTGTGTAGTGCAGTTTCCTGGAAACCAGTGTCCCCTATGGTTGTCCTACCAGCTCTGCCACTTTCCTGCCAGAGCAGGCTGCTGGCTCTTACCTCCCTCATCTGGCCAGTCCTGTCCAAGAAGGCCCACACCCTGTTCCGCAGCATGGCCTCCCAAGCTTCCCGAGTCCTAGGTGTGCTCTAGTTTTGTTGGGGAAAGTGTATCCTGTTGAAACTTGCTTTAGAAGTAACTTTATAGATGCAGTAGAGAATTTCACTTTAATTTAGAGGTTGGACAGAATGGATTAAAATTTCCTAATTCAGAGGTGATTTTGTTATTTTTCACAAAATTTTAGGAAGCCTTTCGGATTTATGTTTTACTTTCTATAATGAAACTGTTAATACAGATGATGATGCAAGTGTCCTGTTCTTCTAGGTACCCAAATATATCTTGTGAGTTGCTCACTTCTGATGTCTCCCAGATGAACGATAGGTTGGGGGAAGACGAGTCCTTGCTCATGAGGTTATATAGCTTCCTCCTAAACGACTCCCCCTTGAACCCGCTACTTGCCAGTTTCTTCAGCAAGGTGCTCAGTATTCTTATCAGCAGAAAACCAGAACAGGTAAATATCATTTTCCAGAAGGTAAGTATTAGTTCTGATGATCCCCCAGTAATTTTGTTGCTTCAGTATTCTGAGTGGGCCTTCCATCCAGGTTCTATAGTGACTCTGGTGAAGCGACAGTTAGTTTATTTTTCCCCCCAAATGACCACAACACAGATGAAGCTTTAAATGAAAAAGCATTTCCATAAATGTAATCGATGATTAGTTTATACATATGGTGATTATTTTCTATTTTGATTCCACTTAAGAACTTAAGTGTTTAGCTTGGACATCTTTGTTTATTTTTTTTATTATTAGAATAATGTCTGAGCTAAAATCAGACATTTGACCTACTGAGCCCACCAGGTGCCCTAGACTTCTCTGTTTAGACTGCTGTTCTGTCCAGTAGTGCTGGGCAGAAAATCCTCCTTTACTGTTGTGGCAGGAACTGCCCCTCCCTCTGCTCCTCCCCTTCCCCCCTCCCACCCCCACCCCTCACATCTGTTTTGTTCCTCAACAACTCAGATATAATTAGGAAATTGATTTTCCGAGGACCTATTACATATGTAATGGTTCTTAAAGTATGGTTTTTTGACCAGCAGCATGAGTACCACCTGAGAATTTGTTAGAAATGCAAGTTTGTAAGCCCCACCTCACGCCTAATGAATCAGACACTCTGAGGGTGGGGCCCAGTGATTTGGAATTTTTAATAAGCCTTCTAGATGACTGATGCATACTAAAATTTGAGAGTCACTGCTCTAGTGGATACTGGTATGAAGAAGGATGTGCTTACCAGGAGATTATGATCCACTTCTGGAAATAGGCACCCAAGGAGCAGCAAGAGCCTCCGAGGCTCCAATACAAACAGACCTGCCAGAGCGTGGCAAGCGAGGGTGTGATGCCAGAACTGCAGTTGGTCAGACCAGCTGGGCCTGGCTTCTTCCCCATGGAGAACAGGGTCCGTGACCCATCCTTGCTGTCAGCAGACGTGGAGGGATGGAACTATTTTAGGCATAGTATGTCCTTTGCCAAGGCAAAGTGGATGCATGTTTTATTTTAGAAAGACAAGATTGTTCTTTCATGTTCTTAATTAGGAAGGATTATCCTCCTAAATGTATTGGAATTGAGGTTCTTTTTTCTTAGATAGTAATCCCCAAATCATGATTACTGTAATACAGGCTGTCTTTCCCTCTTCCGCCTTCTGGTGAGAAATAATAGTCCCGCTGAGCGTTCTAGCAAAGTGCACGCTGTCCCATCAACACAAGGTACTGGTCCTTTCAGGTATTTGTAGCCTTTACTGACACAGGCCTTCCACCTTCATCATGTTTTTTTTCTCTTCATTCGATGCGAGGGGAGCGCAAGTTCAGGGCCCCAGGTCTCACCAGACATTTTATTTTATTTTATTTTATTATTTTATTACTTTATTTTTACATCTGCAATTTTATTTTTTCTTTGCGGTTAGGGTTGAGGGGAAACAGAAGTTTGGGCTGAGGAATAAACTTTTTTCCTGAAATTACATCCTGAAAGTTTTAAATAAGTAGAAGAAGGAGAAGATAGGTAGTTGGTAAACTGGGGCCTAAGATTACTATCCCACTTCTGCCACCAAGACTTCCTGTCCCAAACCAAATTATAATAGAGAAAAAAATTATTCTATATTTTGTTCATTAATGATCTAGACAAGAGATAGAGAGGGTGGTACCACCACAAGTTTCCAAGGAGGGGCACAAGTCCGTTCATTCTACGTCTGTGTCTGAGATATCATCCCTTAGACCCCATCAAAGAGTTCACCAGACCTTTTATATCAAGTGAGAATACACTTGAAACTTTCTGGGACTCTCAGTGCTTGTGCTGGCCTTCCAGGTCAGATGTGTGTGCACAGGTGATGGCATATGCCGAGTACATTCCGAGAAAGGGGCCCAGTCGTTCCATGGTTCTTTGTGCTTCTTGGCTTGGGACTTTTGGAATGAAAATGAGAGAATTCAGTCACCCTCGTTCTTCACCTCTCTCCGTTTGAGAATTGCCAGTGAAGATTTCTCGTCTCGTGATGTTAGTGAAGATGCATGCAACTGCAGGTGATGGCGGGGGGCTTAGCCAATGCTCATTAGCTCACAGGGAGGATGTTCAGCTACGGGATACCTTCAGTGTTGGGCGGGGGGGAGGTTAGCATCTCCACGGTGTTGTCCTTGATCTAGGACACCTTTAATCCTTGCTGTGCTGTCCACAGTACTGGCCGCACTCGGTGCCTTTGGGCTAGTGCTTTTGCCACCAAATCATGCAATATTTTGGTTATGTCTGACTTTTTCTTCTTTTCTCCTCTATTGTGCTTTTAAAACAACTGTGTGACTCAGTTATGAGTGGATGAATTGTATATAACTTCTTGAGGTTTATATTGTAACATCTAACCTTACTGTTCAGAGGATCCTCATGGGATCATTGCTCCCACATTTGCACTGGAGAGCATGAAGCAGTTTTTGTTCATCTCTGGCTCATAGCCTTCCTCATGTGGGATAATGGCAGGATTGTGGCTTTTGTGGCATACAAATCTAAGCTTAATCCTCAGGGCAGCCACGGTTTGGCTCTAGCAAGATGCTTAACTGATCTGTGCCTTGTTTTCCTTGTCTAGAATGCAGAATCCCATGTTAGGGCCTCCTGAGAGATTTTGGTGAGACTTAGCTGCTGCCACACTGGCCATGTTGCTTTGAGGACTTTTGAAGAGACACTTGGTGCATATGGACAGGAGGCACGCGAAGGACAGAACACACTCCCTCTTCTTCTTGTACAGAAGAGAGACCCTGATTGTAGTTGTAGCTTCTCTTGTCTCTTCTGTGTAGCCACCCGTCTCTTCTGCATTCCCCTTCCTCTTGTTAATCTAGACAGAGGGACTGCTGACATAAAACCCAAATGTGATGTTGCTATAGCAGGTGAGTTAGCCACTTAGACTGACCTAAAAATACTTGATGCTTTGAATTTTTTTTCTTACTTGCGAGAGACTAATTAGGATTTTGAAGATTTATCCTGCATTTTAGTGCAAAGTCTAATGAACTTGCTTTATCCATAAACTATTTTATGATACATTCTTTGCTCTTTATGGGCTATTAAGTTATCCTTATTCTTTGAAAATTAATAATGAAAGTGAATAGAAATAAGATATTCTGTTATGGTGTATTTATATGAGAGAGTGTGATAATTTGAGAGGTTTTTTCCCTAAGGAGCTTTTGCATTCTATAACAATTATAGTGGACTTTCCAATTTTATATGTGATTACTAATTCAGCATTTACCATTCTTCAACTTCAGGTGGTGGTGGGATTTGAGAGCCAACAATTTGAGGGGTGAGGTGGAATACATGCTAAAGTTCACAGTTCCCCAGTTACGTGTCTTTCAGGTTTGGTTTGTTCTCCTCTAGATTGTGGATTTCTTAAAGAAGAAACGTGATTTTGTAGACCTTATAATAAAGCACATAGGAACTTCGGCCATCATGGATTTGTTGCTCAGGCTCCTGACATGCATCGAGCCTCCACAGCCCAGGCAAGATGTGCTGAATGTGAGTAGAATTAGGACACCTTCACTGGGGTGGGAAGTGGCCCAGGAGCCCACAGGGCTGCTGGGTGCTGGGAGGGATTCCAGGGGATTGGAGAGGAAGGTTGTCTGGGAAACTAGGAGGTAAGGCGGGGGCAAAGAGGAGGGTGGAGCGGGGAAGGAAGGTTGTTCCTAGGTAGAAAGAGATTCTGACTTTGCAGGATTAGTTTCTGAGATGTGCACATCCAGAGGTGCCTGGGATGTTTCTTTGTGAAGGGTCCTTTACCCTTTACTGGTTTGATTTTCAGTGGGAGTGGGGTGGTAGAATGGGTTGAGGATGTGTTTAGAGCTGGTCTGGTGGTAAGAGCAGAAGATTGGGAGTTACGCATCTCATCTGAGGATACTGTGGGCCGTCACTCTTGGGAGTGTGATCACACTTCAGGGTCATGGCTGCAGAGATGGGGGCAGGTATTTCCAAGAAATCAGCCTTCAGGGTAACTTTCCTCTTGTGGGTTGTTTGGATCATAGAATAGGAAGGAGAATGGGGGTTATTTCCAAAAGCACACATTGTAAAATTTTGGTAGAGGGTTATTTTAGAAATGTGTGCCTCTTGAAGAGCTGTCTTAGGTGGAATTTGGGTGGGAACAGGGAGAGTATGAGTGACTGGAAGATGAGATTTCTCACAGGCTTTTATCTTTGCCCCTTCTTCTTGTCTTCTGTCTCCTCCACTCTCCTTCTTTTCACTGCCTTCTTCCAGGACCTTCCCCAATCCGTTCCATCCTTAAAACTCAGCCTTGAACCCTATCATTTACTCATTTCTTTGAAATAAGTTCTGTTGGAAATGCCAATTTTAATTAAAGATTCAAAGAACCAGAGGAGAGAGGTAGGAGGTTCTGTAAGGTAGTATTCCAGGAAAGGGCATGTTCTGCTGAGGTGAGCAGGCATGCCTGTATGCGTGTTTGTGTGAGGGGGAGGGGTCAGAGCTGAGTCTGGAGAACCTGGTCATTGTGAGGACACCAGCTGAGGGTATCTAGTGAATGTCTTGGAGTTGCCTATGGGAAGGAACCCTAAATTGGGGTGCTGGTTCATTTTAGATGTCTTCTTGTGGATATTTTTTTCTCAACATGTTGAGGATTCCAGAAAAGATTGTTGAGGGCAAGGGGGAGGGAGGGTCAGCTTTACATTTGGATTGCTCTGGGAGAAAATTATTAAATATAGTTTCTTAGAATTCCTTTGGTCACTTCTGGGTTGAATTTTAGGGCAATTTATAAAGGAATAGATGCACTTCTGGAGGGATATGGTGATAGTTAATACAGACCTAGGTTAGGGGAAGAGTAGTTAGAAACTTTGACTTGGGTGCCCGCCCTGGGGGAGTGCTTATTAGTGGCTCTGCAGGCAGTAGGGGTGTGGGGCTGATCCTTCCCTAGCTCACAAAGCTTCTTTCCTTCTTTCTTGGTGGTCAGGAACTCCCACCACCACCTCCCTCACTACTAAAGGATGGCCCCAGACATCACCTCTGCCTTACTGAGTAAAAATCTGCATTTTCACAAGATCCCCAGGAGGGTGTTCCTGTGCCTATTTAAAAATTGATCTTAAAATGTAAAGTTGGACCTCTACTAGCTTTACCCTCTAGCAGCTTTGTTTGCATTTTCCTTGGCACCTTTCTCCTTCGGGAGCAGGCAGCTCTGCCCTTAGCAAATTGTGTTTGATTCCTTGCTCTCCAGCCCTGTGCCTCCCTACTTCCTCCAATTTCCCTTTAACCTTTGGGTTTTGTTCTCGGGCTGTTTTTGTTTCTGTGTCCTTTCTCGGTTGTAAATGCCTTGTTTAGTATGGTGTTTCTGTTCCTGCCTAACATTCTGCTAGCTGATATTTAATTTATTCTTCCTTATTCTCCTATTTTCATTTACAGCACTACTTCACATGTAGGTGAGAAAGAGGTTGCCTAGGCAGGATACTAGCTCTTTACTAACTCCTGACTGGGCAGATAAACTCTCCTGCTGTGGTGCCCTGCCCCCCATGTCTCCTGTGGCTGTTTTGGTTTTGGAGTCTGAAAGTTCATGTTTTAACTTACCATGTTTTAAGAGGCTTGATACTAAATCATGCTTTTCTCAATTTTTCTGTCTTTTTTTTTTTTTTTTTAAGATTTATTTGACAGAGAGCAAGAGCGTGCGTGTGTAAGGGGAGGGATAGTGGGAGAGGGAGAGGGAGAGAGAGGATCTTCAGCAGATTTGCCTCTCAGCATGGAGCTTGACCCTGAAATCATGACCTGAGCCCAAATCAGGACACTTAACTGACTGAGCTACCCAAAGCCCCTGTGAAACTGTCTTAGGGTGAATACTGTCTTAAAAAATCTATAAATTACACACACACACCCTCAAACAAAATACAGACCTTTTTAGTACTTAGTGTCTGAGAATTACCCTGTGGCTAAGAAGCTGATTTTAGAATTTTTTAAGTGGGAATTGTAATTTGGGGCATAGTTTGTACTGTTGGCTACTGTTTAAATAATATATTCACTGGCATTTTCCTTGGGGGACTTTTAATTTCCTGTAGTGTTCAAAGTCCAGAGAAACCTGTAACATTCTACTTAAAATGTGATGGATATTTCCAAGTATGTTAATCTTCATTGGGGCTTGAACAAGAGCCACGCATTGCTATGATTACCTCTACAATGTGTTTTACAGTGGTTAAATGAGGAGCAAATTATCCAGAGACTTGTGGAAATAGTTCATCCATCGCAAGAAGAAGATGTAAGTTCTTCTGTGTGACTGTAAACTTGATTTTTTTTTTAAAAAAATTGAAACCTTTTTATTTGAGCATAGAGCTTAATCTTAATTGTATGAGACATGGATGTAGACGACAGGTATAATCTGGCATTCTTAAAGTGGGCAATTTTCTAAGACCCCAAAGCTTTAAAAAATATTACATTTTGCTGATGTGTAGATCATCTTCAGAAATATGGAAAATAGCTCCAAAATTTGGAAAATGGTTCTCCTCCATCTTCTGGAGCTGGGATTTTGTGCTGAATCTGCTTAACTTTGTCACAGACCTCCTCCATCCTACTTCTTTCTCCTTGTATACACATCATTAGCCTAAATGGTGTAGCCACATCTGCACTTGGGTTTTCTGTTCTGGCTAAAGCTGTCCTGGCAGCACATCAGAATCTTTGCCACCGTTGAACCCCTAAGTGTTGGACCCTTGGCGGTCATACTTGTTGGTCTGGCTTCTGGCACCAGCAGGTTTGGCTTTGTCCCTGGTGCTGGGGATTGGCTTGACAATATAGGATTGAAGCTGCTCTGGAGTTTGAAGACTGAGCTCTGTGCTGAGAGGATGCCCGTCTGGGTTGGGTCTCCAGGATTAGCCTAGCCCATTGGCCCCTGTGGAGGAAGCTGTCTGCTCTTCTGCTCTGCTGCTATTCTTGTTGCCACCCTTTGTTGCAGCCTGAGCCCTATGGACTTGCTGGTATTTCGCCATTTCTGCCTATTGACATGACAGCTCTCTACTGCTCAGCCTCCTTTCTGCGAAGTAGATATGCAGGATATGTCATGGGAAGGTCAAGTGACCTTCTTGTATGACAGAGGTTGCCAGTGAGATTGAAGAGTGAGCACCATGGAAGAATTAGCACAAAGGTAAAAGTGTATAACCAGAGGAAATTCTCACTCATTTTGACTTAGCCCCTCTACTCTGGTATATTCAAAAACTTCTGATACCTGGAGTTCATCTAAAACAACCCCTTCCCTCTGCCAAGTTAATCATTAAATGTGCCACTGATTCCCCATCTTCCCCTTGGGACAGTGCATCTGGTGCTCTGGTGCAGTGTCATTCCTGTTAACATTCAGAACACATTCCAGTATGTACCTGTATTGGGTGTGGAGTGGGAGAAGTCCTGTTTAGAGGGAGCCTGCAGTCTGAGTGGGCTGATAACGCCTCTTATGGTTCCTGAGCATGTTTCCTGTGTGATACAAGTGTGGTTAGTGTGGGCCATGGAGAGTGATGATGGGAGCTTGACCTCTCCTATTCACAGGGAATACATGTCCATGGACGAGGCTTGCTTATTGCTAGGATTTCACGTTCTTGAACAGAAGAACTTGATTGCCCAGCAGGAAATTCTGCCTTTCTACAAGGCTCAGAAGAAACTGATGAAAGAGAAGCCCAAGTCTGCAGCTCTTTTTTTTTTTTTTCTCTTCTTTTGAAGGGCAAAGCATTTGAGGCATTAGCACCTTCTTTACTTGACTTGCAAGAAAGTTAATTTTGCCTTTGGAAAGTCCTATTAATACTTCTCTTTTGTACTAAGTGATAAATTATATGCTAAAATCATACGGACCAGTTTATATTTATTAAGGAAATGTTAAATTCCTAATTCTAGTCAGTAGATTTTGATATGTTCGTGTGTGTTGTCAGTGCTGGCATTTCACTGTCTCCCTGTGCTGGGCACATAGCTGCTCAGTCTGTGGACTGTGCTCAGTGCCATGTTCCATGAGACATGATGCATTTGGGGGCTGACTTTAGACCTTTCCTATAAGGTGAAAACTGTATAATAACAGTGGAGGAAGATGCAGTATTTCTTACCCATTGGTATATTCCAGAAAGCTATATTTGACTTTTTTTTTAATCAGTGCTGATTTATTAGCTTCTATGCTGATAAAAGCATATATAATTGACCTTTGAACAACACGGGTTGGGGTGCCAACCCCCTATATGAAATCAGAAATCCATATAAAACTTTGGACTCCATAAAACTTGACTGCTAATAGCCTGCTATTAGCTGTAATCCTTACCTGTAAGGTAAATCATCAACTAACACATATTTTGTACATCTGTTACCTACCATATTTTTACAGTAAAGCAAACCAGGGAAAAGAAAATGTTATTAAGAAAATCGTAAGAGAAAATACATTTAAATAAGTACGCTACCATATTGAGAAAATCCGCGTGTAAGTGAACTTGTGCACTTCAAACCCATGCTGTTCAAAGGTCAGTTGTATATTGGGGGTGTGTCTTTTTCAAGTTTTCAGTTGTAGAAATTTTCCCCTGCCAGAACTTTGATCCCATGTCCCTACATAAAGCGATCTGTATTGTGCAGTATTGTTATGTGAAGTTCATTACCCTGGCAGAACCAAATCCTCCTGTGTCGACCTACATTACTTCTTCTGAGCTTGACTTTTTACTCACTGCAGCTTCTTAGGGCCATTGTTAATTTGTGTTATTTCTTAAGCAATTTCCTTGCTATTGTTTTCTTATAAATTTGACATTTTATGTGTTTTATAGTTAAAATTGTACTTTTTTCCTTTAGCGGCATTCAAATGCTTCACAGTCACTTTGTGAAATTGTTCGCCTGAGCAGAGACCAGATGTTACAAATTCAGAACAGTACAGAACCAGATCCCCTGCTTGCCACTCTAGAAAAGTATGTTTAAAACTCTGTTCTTGTTGTTTTAAAAAAAAAATTTTTTTTTTTCAACTGATACTATTTAATGTGTTACCAGTATGAGTGGTTGGTAAGTCTTCCATCTGTGGGAATCCTGTTCCTGCAAAATAACCCTGGGATGGGGGAGAAAGTAGGAGAACCGGCTTATCTGATTTCAGCCATTTATGATGCCCAGTGGAAACCTACAGGGTAAGAATGTAAATAAATGACATTTATATGTAGACTTTGAACTTTTCAAATAGCTGTAAACTAGAATTTCATAAAGCCATCGTAAGATGGTATAGTGCATCATGACTATGGTCCCTGCTCCACAAGTCTTTGGTGGAGAATAGTCTGATACACAAACTAACTCATGTAGTCAATGATTTTTACCAGAAGATCTTCTTAGGGTTTACTATATACCTTTGCAGCTGACTAGGGGCAACCTGACCACACCTGATTTGAAGGGTTACAAGTCTTGTATGGTTTGTTTCTTTGTACTACCCTGCCCTTATTTTTGGACAGTTTCTTGTGAACAGCCATCTCCTGTTTGGGTGGAAGATAGCTTGCGGATGGTGTGCTGTTTTGAAATTTGTGAACGGACACCAGTTTTTCTAGATTCTCACATTTTCTGAAAGAATATTTGGCATTGAGCATGAGCCTACATTCAATCTGCATCCATATAGCTGCAAGTTGTATGTATGTATGTATGTATGTATGTATGTATTTATTTATTTATCAATCAAGTTGTTTTAATAGAGAAACATCAGGCATTTCCCACTTTGGATGAGTAAATGGAGAGTATACATACAATTAGCACTTTTGAGTACAGATGGCAGTCCTGCTTCAGGTCACTGCCACTGCTGCTAATTTTTTTTAAAAGATTTTTTATTTATTTATTCGTAAGAGAGAGAGAGAGAGGCAGAGACACAGGCAGAGGGAGAAGCAGGCTCCACGTAGGGAGCCTGATGTGGGACTCGATCCCGGGTCTCCACGATCATGCCTTGGGCTGAAGGTGGCGCTAAATCGCTGTGCCACCCAGGCTGCCCCACTGCTGCTATTCTTGCTGGTGACTTTGTCAGGCCTCTTCTGGTCCTGCTATATGTTGACACTCATTTGACTTCTTTTGGCTTACCTGCCTGGAAGGCCCTTTTATTAAAATAAAACATTTGTGTGTATTATTTACCTGGCAAGTGTGAGATGAGCAAGGAACAAATTAGAGATGTGGTATCATTTTTAAAGTCTGTCATCTGAGAAGTAGAGTTGTATTTTCCCAATTTGTGTCATAGAATAGGATGGGGTTGACTAATTCTCTGAAGTAGTGAAATTTAAATTATCAGTTTCTAAGTAAAATATCATTTTCCTTCCCCACTTCTGTTATTCTTGGCACATGGTGTATGTGCTCATTCTGTAAATCTAAGACATTCCACATTGAAATACTAGTAATTATAGTAGTGTTAGGTTGATCCATGTAAAGTTGCCATTTGCATAGGTTAAAAAAATGTTACATACCAACAGTCCCGTGGTTCTTGACAGCATTGTCCAATAGAAATAAGTCAGGTGTAATTTTAAATTATCTCATAGCCTCATTCAAGTAAAAAATAAGTGAAATTAATTTTAATAATGTTTTATTTAATTGATATAAAATATTTGAACATATGCTCATTGAGGTATTCTACATTCTTTTCTTTGTACAAAGTTTTGGAAACCCAGTGTGTATTTTACACTCAGGACAGGTCATTTCGGACTAGTTACAATTTGAGTGCAGTGGCCTTATGTGGTGATTGACTCTGGCCATCTGGGAGAGCAGGTTCCCCCTGGATGCCAGACGATCAGCAGTAACCACTGAGTTTCAGTGCCACCAGAGCTCCCTCAGATGTGGAAGCTGGCCCTTGGAGCCTGCATCTGCACCAGCTCTTAGGGTGCAGACTGTCTCCTTAGTCCTGGATCAGGTACCTATAAATTGAATCATATGGCCGCATGCTCAGAATTGGCATCATTAAGTATTAGTTGGAGTAAATTTCTTCAAATTCATGGCCCTGACAAGTCAGGGGTCCCATGATGTCACTGAGTTATGTCTTCACTGCACTTAGCAGTGGGGAGACTTACTCTATAATAGTCCTCCTGCACTTTTCTTGAGAATGAAGACCAACCCCTTTTAATATCAGACATGCTCCCACGTTATGGTGGTTCTTTTAGTATCTGTTGGTTAAGAAAACACACAGTGATCAAAGGCTTCAACAGGCTTGATAAACTTATTAATCGTAATAGCTTTTGTATATGGTTGATATATTAGGCCATAATGTATAATGTCTGTTTATATTTGATAAACTATCAAATAATATAGGAATATTGTATTATGTTTTATAGTCTCCTGGCAGTACATAGTAGATGGGTTACCCAGCTCTTTAGATTATAATGCCAAATAACCCACAGGTAGGGTGCCACCATGTATACAAATACTTACACGTATGTATAGTGTAGCATGTAAGGAAAAGTTTAAAATGAGTTTGTTTTGGAGGGAATGGTAAAGATGGGTAGAGATACCAAAAGGTGTCTGAGAAGGTGGACGGGAGTGTTAAACAGTGAGTGGCATGGGAAGCAATCAGGGCTTGAGTAAATGCGGGGGCTCTGGGATTCTGAAGTTCAAAAATTCCTTTAAAGCCAGTGGTGGTAGGGAAGGTGATAGGGAAGGTGGTAAAGAAGGTCGAAGGAGCTTAGAATGAATTAGAGCTTGATCCCAGTTTGGCCAGCTAGCTGAGGACAGTGAGTCTTTATTCAGCCTGCCCACCTACAAAGCAGAAACAAAAGTGCACCATTGTCTCAAAGGCATGGAGGGAGTCCCTGGCGGGCTTCATGCCTAAAACACTTCCTATGGGCAGTTTACTAATGTTCATCCAAGAACTCCAGTTCTTTTAAATGTTGAAAGTACAAATATATTTTCTCTCAAAATTAAGTAGATGCCTTAGTATTTAATGAATACGAAGGCATTCATTTTATCCTGTTTGAATAGCTAAGTCCTTCAGTCTATGATTTCTTTTGTATTGGATAATACTAGACTCATAATATGGTTCAGCTACTATGTTGCATCCTGACCTTCAAATTCCTGCCAGTTATCATATTGTTTTTGTCCATTAGTAGGATGCTTTCATGGATATAGTCGACTGATGAAGCCATGAGCTAATGAGGCTTCTTTGTTAGCCACTCTCTCAGGCACCAGCATTTATGAAACTATGATTACACTCTGAAAAATAAGAACGTTACACTTGAACGTGGACATCTACAGTTGGATGCTGTGTCCATACTCTTCTGGCTGGCAAGAGGCTACTTTTTTTTTTTTTTAAGATTTTATTTATTTATTCATGAGTGACAGAGAGAGAGAGAGGCAGAGACACAGGCAGAGGGAGAAACAGGCTCCAGGCAGGGAGCCTGACGTGGGACTCGATCCTGGGTCTCCAGGATCACACCCTGGGCTGCAGGCGGCCCTAAACCACTGCACCACCAGGGCTACCCAAGAGGCTCCTTTTTGAAAACTATACATACTATACATATTTACTGTGAAAAAGCTGTTTGTTTTCCACAGCCCAATCCCAAACCTGGTATTTATTCTATAGACTGCTATGTGTTGAGTGATGACTTTTGTAGTGCTGTTTTGGGTAAAGGTCTCAACATTTTAGTGCTGGCGTAGGAGTTCTTAAAATCTTCCAGCAAGGGGTGGCGGGGGGGGGGGGTTCCTCTGAAGTTAGGTTATATGTCAGTTTTATTTGCTTTCCCCAAATAAAAAGAGATTCTCTCTTCTTTGCTGCCCCTCCCTGGTAAGGGAACTGGTGTTGGAATGCAGTGAGCACAGCTATACCTTGGGATGACTGGCATCTATGCTGGGTGAGCAACAGGGACAACCTAGCTATGTGTCACACTGTAAGGGAGATTCCAGTCTTTTGTTCCCTTGGATTCTGAAAATTACTGAGATCTTAAGAAGTGGAGATCTTCCTTGAGATTGTCCATATAAATTTACCTAACAAGTTACCCTTGTGTTTTACATTAATCATGGCCTTGAGTGTGTAATGGGAATAGCCTACAGAGAGAGAATACATTTTGGGCAGTAGTTCAGGCAAATCCACTTCATTGCTACCTTATTATTTTGATTTGCCAAATTTTAATTATAGGGTAAAATGCAACAATTGATCGTGTCTTTTACCTGTTTTAGATCTTAGTTAATTATACATTAATGCCTTTGTGGGAAGACATTTGTGGGTTCTAATTAGCCTTTTTGAAAAATTCCCCTCCTTTTGTGGGATGAAGAGCTCCAAATCTTACCACCCACAGCCGCTACCACCAGCACCCTGGTCTGAGTGGGAGATGACTTCCAATCTTAAAACATTTGTTGGCTCTCAGTGAGATTGGCAAAGGCAGGGAGGGCTCAGGTGATTCTGCTGAGGGGAGGGAGTAGGAGAATACATGTGGGAGAGTTGCATTTATAATAAGCAGGATCACTGGTCTACTTTAATAAATGTATGAAAAATAAAATATTGTTAAGTGAAACAGATATGCCCCAGTGAGATTGAACTTTGATAAAGTATTTGCCTTACTGGTACCATGCTCTTTTTCTGTTATTATTAAATCGTGTTACAATTAGCACTTGACTATTGATTTGTTTCCCTAGGCAAGAAATTATAGAGCAGCTTCTATCAAATATTTTCCACAAGGAGAAAAATGAATCAGCCATAGTCAGTGCAATCCAGATACTGCTGACTTTACTTGAGACACGGCGGCCCACGTAAGCTTTCCTTTTGTCTTATAAATGTTAAACCATTTTGCTTTGCTTTTAGATTTTCTAGAAACTAAAAGTTGGTTGATAAGCTACAACCTCATGCCCTTGAATTGCAGGTGTTCAGTCTTCCTCTACCATGTGAACTCTGAGTTAGTTTTGTGTGAGTGCGGATGGAGGGAAAAAGTTAAAGATAGAGTTTGATGAGCGCTGTTCACTGGCAGTGTTTGGGTATTTAGTAGTTTAGAGAAGATTGCTACAATAAGTGGGGTCATACACAAAACATGTAACACAAGAGAAGCCTATTTCTTGATTATCAAAATTGAAAATAGGTGTTCCTCCTGGTCAGTGGGCAGCTCTCTCCCCTCCAAGTGGCAGTTCTGGGACACCTTCTATCTTGTGATTCTTTTCTATGCATGCTAACTTGAGGCTTCATATTGGTCCTTCGGGGATTTCACATGAGGGCACTGTAGTTTGTGAGGCTGTTTTAAAATGGGTTGGCAGGTGGCTTGCAGCCTTTAAGGAAAAATTTGTCCCAAGTGTTTCAGAATCAGAAACATGGTCTGCTTTTCCCGTGTGTGTGCTCTGCACTAGCCATATGATGTCTGTCATGTTATTCTTTACAGTTTATGTCCAGTGCTAATTCACTTATTGTTAGAATTTTCTAATTGTTCCCAGAGCATGGATTTGAAGAGCTACATATATATATATGAGCATTCCAGGAATATGCGGTTTAGAGGTTAGAGTTTGTGTTTTATCACTCACAGATTTCTCCAGTAAACCAGAGGGCATGAAGAGAACAGAGAAGGCTGCTCTCTGCATCTGAAAATCTCAGTCATCCAAGGTTTCTGGATATACTTTTAATGAAGTAATTTTGGTTTCTAGCAAAGTAGTGAACATAATCATTCCACTTCCCAAATTCTTGATCTCTATTCCTGGTTTGTTTAATCTTTGGTTAGTGGTAATGGAAGGGCAGTTGGGCAGCACTGCTTTAAAGGCCTTGTAATTTGGAGATGTATGTCTGCAATTTTGACTGTGTCTGTGTTTTCTGCAAATTCTATTTTAAATAATGTAACCAGTAACTTAAGGTATTAATCAAGTGGTACAGGACTGTCCTCTTGCTCCTCATGCTTCAAGACAGTTGCACCATCTCCTCAAATAGTTTGAAAGCACCTGAAATGGTCCTGATGCTTGTATCAACAACCCTGACTTAAGAAAGGAATAAATCTGGGGAAAAAAGGTACATCTTTACAAATAGAAGTGAGAAAACACATAGTTGCACAGTCTAGAGCAGAGAAGATACAATAATAAGAGAAACAATAGAAGGAAATTTTTGACCAGAAGAAACTTGTCTTCAGATCATCAGAAAGTGATGGAATGCTGAATAAGATTAAATTTAAAAGGAGTGGGGGATGGGGCTTATATTTTAGCCTTTTCCTGATGAGATTTCTGAATCCCAAGAAGAAAGGATAAATCCTAGAAGCATCTGGATAAGAAAAAAAAATGGGTTAACCACAAAGCAAATCAGATTGCTAGGCATCTCATTTGTCAAGCTAAATAAAGACTGGAAAGCAGAGGACAGGTCTGTGCCCCTGATATGCTGCTGCTGATGCATGAGGGCAAAGCAGGCATTCTCTGGCCCCTGCAACCTCAGTGTTCCATATGGCTTCTGTTCCCAGCGTGAAAGATCTGAAGATGGACTTCACCAAAACCAAACAGAAAATAAGTTAGAATAAAGAACTTAAATAATACTGGTAAAAGTGATGATAAATGAAATGGATAGGGAGTGAAAATGATTAATATGAATGTGAAAGCTAAGTGTTCAGAATTGAACAGTTGAATAAGTCACATATGGGAAATAAAACAATAAATCTTAGATTATTTTAGTAAAACTCAAGAAATAAGGAGAAGGAATAAGTTAGTATATATTAGTTCTTACCTTACACCAAGGAAGTTTCTTTTTTTTATCTTGGAAAAATTGAGAGTTCAGATATGTTTTCCATAAATGTAGAATAATAGTAGGATTTGGAACTTCCAAAGCTCCCTCGGGGACAAAGAGGTCAAAGAAACCTGAGAGTTGTTCTCCAGGGTAATTTGCACACACCTGCAAGCCCTTCCTGGGGAAACAAGTGGTGGCAGGGTGGGGTGGAGACCAGAGAGAGCTTCCCTTGCAGAGTGGGCCTCAGAAAACAGAGCGACAGCCTTTGGAGGAAATGTACGAGTCCCCACCATAATCATTCCCCTAGCGCCTGCTGAACGAAGTCATAGGCTACTGAGGAAATCTTAAAGCCATAAAGACACGGGTGAAGACCATTTGCAGTGGGAAGAAGGCACCAGAAAAAATTCTCTAGTCCACAGAAGAGGCAGGGACACATTCTGGGCCCCAAATATTAGAGATCCCTACCACTAAAGCAAGGTCAGTGAGACCTAGGGACTCGTCAGCTGCCTAAGACAAGCTAACCCAAAACAGTAGCATTTCTCCCTGCCGTCCTGTCCAGCAGGCCTTCAGTGACAGCTGCAGTCGGCTTGTATAGAACAAGCTAGTGTGGGAGGAGACTTTGTCAGGCAAGGGAGCAAGCTTAAAGGGAAGAACTTTAGCTTAAGTGTAAGCTAAAGGGTGACTTGGAGAAAACTGTGGCAAACCAGCCCTAACTATAAATACAAAGTAACTTGAGACACATTTGAAGTATGTAAGGCACTGAGGGAAATCATCACAGCACACCTAGCTCAATTACTGATCCTAGATTGATTTAAAACCCACACTAAAGATCTGGAGAAAAAGAGATGTGTTCATTCCAGAAATAATGTTTACATTGGTTTCTACTACCCTACACAACTTGTCCACCTTTCAACCAAAATTTGCAAGACAGACAAGATAAAAAGAATCCCAGAAAACTCATGAACACGAGTAGTCAATAGAACTACATTTAAAAGTACTGGAACTGTCTGACAGGTAATTTAAAATAACTCTCATTAATATCTTAAAGGATTGTGGGGAAAATAGTATGTGAACAGGTGGGGAATTTTAGCAGAGAGTTGGAAGATCATATGAATATGCTAGAACTAAAAACTAAAAACCATAGCAGAAATGAAGAATGTCTATGGGCTTATTGGTGAACTTGGCCATAGTCCAGGAAAGAATACAGGACGTGAGAAATTACCCACACTGAACCATAAAGAGTTAAACCAAAAAGACTTGATTGGTGAGCTTCAAGGGTCTAGAAGTAATGACATACCACAGGGAACAAGGACGAGTGCTCAGATCTTAGTTTCTCACCCCATTCTCCAGGGAAGGGAACCAGGGCTCCTTAGAGAAGGGCAAGAGGAGCATACAGCATTGTGTGGTACAAAAATAAGTATAAAAAACCTTACAAAAGCCCACAATGTGAGTGGCAGGAGTTATGTCAGAGGAACACAGGAGCCAGCTTGAAAGAGCTTTCATGGCCAAAGCTGATTTGCACAGTCAACAACAGCATAATAATTTGTACAGTAAAATAAAGCACTGTTGTCTTATAACCCAAAGTCCAAAAATATTCATTAGTTCATACCGATACAAATAAATGGAGGAGAAGAGACAAATCTCCCCTGCAGAAGAATTTCAAATAGTTTGGTAGATGCTCCCTCCTCAAGGAAGAACAACAGAACTGTCCATTCTTTTCAGTGTGGACTGCACACCATGACTTCCTTCCAAAGAGGTCTTATGAAAGATAAGAAAAAGAGCAACTTGACAGTGACTCTGACAGACACTTCCTCAGCCAGATCATCAAAGTGACTAGCAAGTGATAAGTTGTGTTGACAGCTTATAGTCTTGTCAGTGAAGTCTGAGTAACTCTCACAGCCAAGAGGAGGCCGAGGAGACATGACAACTAAATGCGGTATCTTAGGTGGGATTCTGAAATGGAGAAAGGACTTTAGGTAAAAACTAAGGAAATCTGAATAAAGTGTAGATTTAATGTACCAGCATTGGTTTATTGATCGTGACATATATTTATAGTACTAATGTAAGATGTTAATGGGAAACTGGGTGTCAGTTATGTGGGAATGCTCTGTACTACCTTTGGAGTTTTTCTGTCAATCTGAAATGGTTCTAATAGAAATAGACATAGCATTTAGACAGAAACCCAGTGAGGATACAGAAGACCGGAACAGCAGTGGTAGCCTGCTTGACATAAGTGATACTTGCAGAGCCTTCCCTGGCTATGTCAGGGTGCACAGTCTTTTCAAATGCACACAGAACTTTTATCAGGGTAGACCAGACTCTCAGCCATCAAACAAACCGTAACGACTTAAAATAATTTAATCATGCACAGTATTCAGACCATAATGGGTTTAAACTAGAAATCAGTAATAAAGATTGTTGGAATATCCCCAAATATTTGGAAATGAAGCAACACACTTCTAAATAATCCCAGTGTCAAAGAGGAAACGACAAAAGAGAAATGAGAAAATATTTTGAACTAATAGATAAATGAGATAGGGCATGTCAGAACTTGTGGGATGTAGTGAAAGTAGTAGAGGCAAAGTTAGAGCATTAAATGTTTATATTACAAAAGGAAGACAGAAAAAGAAAAAAAGGAAGACCAAGTTTTGTGTCTGTGACCTAAGCTCCCACCTTAAGGAAAAGCAGATAAAACCCAAAGTGAACAGAAGGAAGGAAATAATAAAGATAAGAACAGAAATCCAAGAGATTGAGGAGGGAAAAAAAATAATACAGAAAATCAGTGAGACCTAAAAGCTGTTTCTTTGAAAAGATCAATAAAGTTAGTAAATCTCTAGCCAGATTAAGAAATGTAGATGTAGAAAAGATACACATTACAAATTACAAGAATAAAAGAAGGGATATAACTGCATTCCTACAGACATTAAAAGAATAATAAGAGAATATTGTAAACAACTTGATGAACTATTTCAGCAGTTTAGATGATGTGGACAGCTTCCTTAAAGGAGTAGTACTGCCAAAGCTCACTCCAAAAAACAATAGCTAGGATAAACAGTCCTAGACCTATTAA